GGGGGGGGGGGTCTGAACATGGCTCAGAGAAAAAGAATGTTGCTCAATTACACCTTATCCACCAATCAAGTCACATGGAGATGACTTAGGCACGCGCGCGCTCGATCACAGACATAATCCACGACAGGCAGCATTACACGTCAGTAACATCAGAGATTTGAAATGTTGGCTGTGATCCCTCCTGAGTCACATCACAGCCCGCTGCTGCTCGATCTGCCACACGGAGTGCAAACCTCCCTTACCTGCGTCTCAACTTCTGCTCGCTGTTACTTCCACTGTTCTGCTGTTCTTGGCCGCAGTCGCTCTATATCCTAATCCAGCGGATTTGTAAACCATTCAGAAATCCGTTCAGAGTCGAGCAGAGAGCTCAGCGGAGGACGAAGGAGCAGGTGGCATCGTCTCCGGTCCAGAAAGCGTGCCTGTGTATAGTGTTTGTGCGTTTGGGGAGAGACGCTCCCACGTTAACGGCTCAGTAAATCTGTCCTCACACGACGGAGCGACGAGGAGAGCCAGGTGGTCGAGCACGAATCCCGCGCCGAGGTTGCCGAGCTTTATCGGCCGAGTCCAGCCTCAGAGCGCTGCACCCTGTCTGGGTAAGAAGCGCGGGGGCGCTGCAGCTGTCAGATCCGGTCTCTGTCGGTTCGCCACAAGCTCGTGAGCAGAGGAGTACCGACGATCCCTCCTTCTCTCTGCTCCTCCTGAAAAATAAAGGGAGGTGGGCAGTCTTCAGCAGCCCCCACCCCCTCCTGTCCCCCGACGTGAGGACAAACTCCGCCCTCCCCACACAAGCTCAGCCAATAGGAATCCTCTCGCTGTCTCTCGGCCACACACCCTCTCTCTCTTTCTTTGGCCGATTCGGCGACACAAAGGCTCCGGCTCCTCTCCAGGAGCCGCCTGCACGTATTCATCCTCTAAAAGGAGTAGACACGTACTCAGCCATACTCATTGAGCCGCACAACCACTTATGTCACCTGACCAAAGCACAATAAAGGGATTTCACAGCGTTTTAAAACTCACTTGCAACCTGTAGCTCAATTCAGTGCACAAGCATTTGACAAAAATAAACCCTGGAAGCAGATTCAACAAGTTCTGTCAGGGAACATCTGAAGAGCAAGAAGATACACAAGTGCAATATGAGATGTAATGCTCTGCTCTCTCTGGGTTTTCTAAGACTTTATCTTGAAATGCTTGGCGTTATCAGCTCAGTGTTGTTGGTATTTCTACATAAACTAGCTTTCTGTTCAGAAAAATTTAGCCAAGGGCCTTAAACTTCTATTTATTTGTAGGCCACCAGATGGTAATAGCTTTGGTACAAAAGTTCTACAGAGGTCTACCGGGAAAGGGCTTCTTCTTGACCTCTGTAATTGCTTTGCAATGTTGCAGCCCCTTCCTTGTCTTGTCTTCTTTGTCACTTTGGGTCATACCAAATAAAAATGCAGTCTAATTTGTTAATGTTGGTCATGTTTCAAAAAGTAGGATTAGCCATGTTATCTTGTGCTTGCTCATTGGCTTCAACGACTTCCCATCACAAAAAGTGCTCAGTATTTCAGACTGCCCAAACCAAGCAGCGGCCTCCAGAGCTGCACTTTAATGGTCACTTTTACTGATTAAGGTTCCTAACTGGGTGAAGTAACCCAGAAGTATCGTCGTGGCAACCTAAGTGTAAGATGATGGTTCTGTAAATAAAGATAAAAAATAAAGTGAACTGAAGGTTTTAGTGTAACTCAGTTTGACTTGGTCATGGGCTCAGTTTGATACTATATGACCATCTTTCAGGATTTTAATGATTTTATTTGACAAGTTAAAGTGGATAATCACCTCCTAGTAAGAAAGAATATACGAGGGGAGCATGCATATTCATTTTACTGAAATAAAACAAAAGCCAAGCAAATAAACTGCATTCCCTCCACTGTCACTTGAGGCTTGCTTCAACAGTGAATTCATATAGATTCCATTGTTAAAATATTCACTAAGCACTTTTGGTCTCAGCGGCATTTCCCTCCTTCATAACAACTTCCTGAGGAATTTCATTAACACTTATTCATTTGTATTTTCCTGAGGCTTAGAGTTAGAGGCCCGACTGCTCTGCTTGCTGGCATGAATTCAGCTCTACCAATTGAAGTAGCTGAACTAGACTTCTCGTTTGTGTTTCTGTTTGTGTTATTGGTGCCTTTGGAGAATTTCAAAAGGAATTATCTGAATTAAAGAAAAACTTAAAGCAACCGATTAGCTTAAGTTTTTTAAGTTTATGAAGCTGAAGCTTATCAGCACTCCAATATTTAGATTTCAGTTGACATGTTCCATTTAACTAAAATAAAAGTAAAATGTTTAATAATTAAATTTATAAATATTTAATAACTAAAACTTTTCATTCATGTCTCCCATGTCAATAAGTTAATAATTTAAAAGGAACGAGTACAACAGAGTCATGTTATCAGTAGTGTATTGTATTGTTCATTTTTGTAATCTTTTTAAATTAAACAAAACCCAAAGATCTATATGTGGGAAACTCAAAAACATGTAGAAAAAACACAAAATGTAGAAAAAAATCAATGCACCGAATACTGCAAAATTTAAAAGCATAAGTACATTTCTTCAGTTCACCAATAACACACTGTATGGTTAATATTCAAGAAAAACACTTCTGACTGACTGGTGTCATGGCAGGGTGTTTACCACTGGGTGGCTGTAGCTCAAGAGGTAGAGCAAGTCACCTACTGATAGGAAGGTCAGTGGTTCAATCCAGAGGTGGCCCACACATGGGCCAGCATGAGGCCAGTTGCAGGCCCTGTGCTAGCCCATGTGTGGGCCACCTCTGGCAAACCTGATCTGGGCCACCAAAGGGCCGTCATTCTTTGCGGTATGTGGGCCTTGTGTAAGCACATTGTGTAGGCCAGATCCAGGCCATACCAATTTTGCTATGTGGGTACCTGCTTGGTTAACATTTATATTCAAAACAATGACATTCACAAAACCAGTGGATGCATAAATTTTTTATGAGGGGCATATGTACGTGACACAAATTTATTTTAAGATAAGATAAGATAAGATAAAACTTTATTAATCCCTCGGGTGGGTTCCTCTGGGAAATTCGGTTTCCAAAAGCACAGCACCGACAGAAGTTACAGTTACAGAATATTATATATATATATACACACACACACATATGTAAATAAATACAGAGACATATATACCGTAAT